CTGTTGCATTATATATTTCCAGTGTGATGGGGGTTTTGACAAAACACGCATTATGAATAAATGTACTCTAGCAGAGTTTACCTTTTCCTTGTTTTGGAGATACTATAGTCCAAGGACTTTCCATATTGAAAAGAAGTACTTGCTTTTTCAAACAATAAAGTAACAGTACACAGGTGCCTGAGCCTGCTCCAGGATTGAGAATTTAGAAATCAGTGCAGGTGAGGGAGGAGGGAAAGTATGGCTCCAGATCACCTCTTCAAGCTGTTTGGAGGCTTAACCAGCCTCCATCAAGCGTTTAGTTGCCACCCAGGAAGAATCACTGCAGTTTAGCATCCTCTGACTGGCCATTCTACTACACACATTGGGGAGGAGGAAACTTCTTAATTAGAACTGGTTATGCCAACTTTATGCCATCCAGTGATTTACCTACATGAAGGGAATTTCCAGTTGTCCCTTAGAACAGCTTTCTAGATCCTTTGCACTGCCTGAGCAACTCCAAGGAATGGAATGGGGCTGAAGATCTGGCCCATAAACTTGATACTGAGCTTGCTTTATCTGAGCCAATGCTATATGAATTGTGCATATATTTGGCACTTTTGAATTGAAAATGAATTATGAGCCACTGCTTTCATTTTGCATGAACAGTCTCAGTTATATGTTGTTTGCCCTCCCAGAAAATTATCTCTTCCTCAGTCCTTGTCTCCTCCCATTTTGTGCAACAGCTCTTTGCAGTACACCTCACTGAGAGAGGACATCTTTGTTCCTATATTTAAGACTGAGTGTGGAGTTCGATTCCAGAAGCTCCTATTGTCACCTGGAGGGCTAAAAGACCTTGTCTTTTGAGGCAATCTGTGTGAAAACCCCACAATCCACTTTTTTTCTTTAAAATTCGATTATTAAAAATAGAGAGAAACTCAGATTAAAAGAAACCAGTTGCATAACATATCTCCTCTGAATACTTAGCCAAAGCCCAGATAGGTAGGTTCCCCTTACTTAGTTTCCTGTCTTCAAGGCAATTATCAGTTGAAAACAATTTCCTTCTCTGACTTTGACTTGTACAGTGTGACAACTTCATGCTGTTTTGTCCAGAGACCGATGTTTCCCTCCCTTAACTGACCAGTTTATTAAGTCCTTTGATTCAGGGCAGTATCTCCCTCCATTTTACAAAACAGTTCTCTGAAGGTAAACACAGAACTCGGGCTGCGAAGCTGCGTTCCTCAAAGTTCAGGAGATGGTCCACTGAGGAGAAAATGGCCTTTTAACAGTGATTAATAGTTGTCCTTCAAATTCCTTACTACTACTTAACTGTATTCTAGTATAGCCCTCCACAGATCTTTTTGTCTAACTGGACACAGTTTATCCAGGTCTCCCTTTAAAACCTTCTGTCTCAATTTCCCCTTCCCATGAAATAAATAAGTAGTTAGACTCTATTCACATGTTATGTTATTCAGAATAAGCACTTCAGTTTTAATGATCAAACTCATATCTAATGCATATCATGCAAAATAATTTATATGGAAAGATGGATTCCAAACCTAGAGTCATTAAGAATAAAGTTTTACTGAAGCATTACACCTAGTGGAGCATGAAACATTTGTTTTCAAAAGAGGGCAGTAAATATTGTACCTTATAAGAATTTTAACTGCAAGAGTATATTCTAGTTTGTGTACTATATTATATTATACTATGGACCAGACAGTACTTGGTTTTTCATTGGTGTGCAAGAGCAGAGAGGTAACAAAGTGCCTTCCTCTGCCTTATGTCCCTGTGCAAACCTCAAACACAATCCCATTCTCTGCTTTTTGAGCATAGGTACAGGAAGAATCTGATGCTGTAATTAGACTCACCATAGGGTCAGGGCTATGGTGGTGCCATGGCCCCATCTCCCTTTATACCAGCCCCCACACAACTGAGGTGCTGCAGGAGGAAAATGCACACCGTACATTCTCATAATAAGAGTCCAGGATTTCTCACCTCCAGTGCAGGCTATTGCTGAACAGCCACAGTATAGATCTGTGTGCAGTGCTTACTACTGATGAAGACTTTTAATGTGTGCTGCTATAGGCTGTCTCTATTTTAGGACAAAGGAATGTGTGTAGTTTGGTTGGTAGTCCTTTTGTTGCACTCAACTGCAGATTGAAAGCTGATAAAAAGGAAGAGTTAAATAAGCAATTCACAAATGCTGTGTTTTCCTAACACTGTCAGAGCCAATGAAATATAAGCTGTGCATAAAAATGAGGTAATGAGCTAAAATGAAGGTGTTAGTGAAATTTAAATACGAGTGAAGCATAAAGCTGCAGCAACAGTATATATGTATCTAATTAATTATTGAAGAATGGTGAGGTTCTAAATAGCTGGAATTAGTAGACACACTAATAATAGCACTTTGCTTTTATATATAGTGACCTTTATTTGAAGTTTTCAGAGCACTTTGCTGATGTTGAGTACATCAACATTCATGCTGCTCAGAGAACTAAAGAAAAAAAGTTTTCTAGCAAAATACAGACCAAACTTTTCCAATTCATGGGTTGATTTATATGTGAATGGCAAGCATTAGGAAAAAGATTGTTCATTTGCATTACAAATAACTCATATAGGTTGCAGTGCTGCTGTATTACTAGCAATGAGCTTGACACAATTAGAGTTTTCCCTACAGCAGTAGTCTACCAATGCCAGCCATTGATTTAACTGTTTATACTCAGTAGGTCAAGGTCACTTACACACATTACCTGTAATCTTGTTTAAATCTTTCTTCCCTGAGGGGGAAATGCAATGAAGACAGGGCCTGAGAATCTCATTATTCTTGACAGGGCTGCAGTTTCTGAGTAAACTACAGTTGGTAATACTAAAAATCCAAGTATGCTGTCAGTGTAAGGAGGTATATTTTTATCTTTTATAAAAGGCTGATATTGGCCCTCCATTTGTAATTTGATGTAATAAATAATGCAATAGTCAAAACAGGAAACATTCTAATAAAATATAGATTTAGATCAGATTCCTTCCATTGTTGTATGCAGTGCTGTTGTAGCCATGTTGGTCCCAGGATATTAGAGAGACAAGGTGGGTGAGGTAATATCTTTTATTGTCTCACACACCAACAGAAGTTGGTCCAGTAAAAGATATTATTTCATCCACCTTCTCTAGACACTGTTCCTACATATAACAAAGTTACCTGTCAAAATATAACTCCTTTTTTTTTTAATACGTAGAAGGGCGATAGCTTGTTATGAAGTAATTTTCCCATGGAATGACAGCACCTACAGCTTGTTCATTTTTATCTGTACAGATCAATGTGGAAAGGGAATAACTGATTATTCTGTTGCCAGAATGCCATTTCCTCATACATTTTAAATCTACTATACTTTGAACATTTTTCTCTGACTTCAGTTGTTTTTATGAAGTCGCCATGTTTCAAATGTCTAGGCCTTCAGTGAAACGTATCATCTCTGGTGCCTTTGCCAAAGCAGGAAGTGGTCTATTTTCTATTAAAGACACACTACTGTACTCTTTTCAATATGCCATTGTGTTTTAACCAGATTGACAAAGCAACTGCTATGAAATAAGCGTGCTGTACAACATTCAAAATAACCACTGATTACTACCAAGTAGGAGAACCAACTTGAAATGAAGTGATTTGTCAATGGAAAATGCAGTCTTTCTCAACAAACTGGCTATCAGTATTTTCAACAGTGATTCCTTTCTGGATTATGGAGTATGGAAAGAGACAAAATTACATTACATTTGCCATGTAGACCACTGCACAAGTTCATCTTTGCTCCAGATGGGCTGGCACATTTTGCCAGAAGGTTTTTTGTTTTTCTTGTGAAGAAAGGAGATTATTTGTGGTCATTATTGTTCATTGTGGTAACTGAGATTAGTTTGATAAAACATAATTTAAGGGCTAATCTTGCACACAGATGTGCCAGAAGGGAGCATAGGGACCCTGGTTCAACATGTAAGCAACCAGGTGGGCTACATCCTTGATACACAAGTATACTCACCTGACACAATAAATTAAATAGTCATTGAGAATTCTTAGGCACTTGCAGGAGCAAGTCCATCAGCTGTATATGCTGTATGTCAGCAAGCAGGTGTATCAGAGGAAGTATAAAGAGCACCCCACAGTATATTGTGTTGCCCTGCAATGTAGAATGCTGCTATGACCAGGCAGAATTCCTTATGTAGAAAATGCTCCTGCCAGCACTGTTGCACATACTCCTTGTGCTGGTTTGCTGGCCCGACATCAGAATTCAGTAATAAGTGTTTAATTAGTTACTAATAATTAAAAAATTTAAAAGAAAGTTGTGTGCAAATTAGAAAAACAGTTGATGATATTTATAATGAAGTCTTGACAACTAGTGTACATAATATATTTTTGCTAAACCTCAACAAATGTGTTTATTATTCCTTTAACAAACAACTACTGTGTAATGTATATTTTAGTACTATTAAAGGGACAATGTGAATAGTTGATAAGGGAGCAAATTTTAGCTCCAAGCTTCCAAGAGTATATCATAAGTAGGGTGACCAGACAGCAAGTGTGAAAAATCGGGACGGGGTGGGGGTAATAAGAGCCTATATAAGAAAAAGCCCCAAATATCGGACTGTCCCTATAAAATCGGGACATCTGGTCATCCTAATCATAAGTAGTGATAAAATACTGATTTTTAAAATAATGCAAAATACCATAACTGTATCTTTTTAAAAATGTATGTAATGGCCCTGATTTATGTCCAAACTGTGCTTCTCTTACTCCCTATTTTCAGTGTTAATTTAGTTTTGAGTAAGAGGAGGATCTAGCCATTAAAAATTTACCTTTTAACATGCAAGAATAACGTAAAACCTAACTGTGCAATTATCTTACCTAGGGATTTTTGTTTGTTTTTACAATTTTATCAATGTATTTGTTTCAGTTGATCTATTCTTTAATGGTAGAGCATGAGCCATTCAAAATTTATTCTCAAAAGACCCACATGTATTTCTTCTTCTTTTTTTGAAAGGTAACACAGCCAAGGTGTTTATTGAAGTGCAGGATGAAAATGACCATGCTCCTGTCTTTACCAAAAAACTCTACATTGGAGGAGTGTCTGAAGATGCTAAAATGTTTTCTTCTGTGATGAAAGTTAAGGTGGGAGTCAAGCTATTTAAGTACAGTTTACAGGCTAAGGAAAAGTATTTACTCACTGGATTAAATTTCCACAGGAGGTTACAGTAGATGCATCTGCAAACTATTTGAGCTCCTGCTACATTAACAAAAATTCACACTTGACTTGTGCACATAAGAAAGTAAAATAGGTGCAGAATGGCTAATTATCTGTCTAAAACCCTGTTCATGCATACAAATTTGGAGTTTTGCAAGTATGTTGGCCCCATAATCCAGTATTTTCCTGAAGCAAAACTCCCTTTGAGGTCAATAGAGTTTTGCCTAAGTAAGGATACAGGATTAGTTTCTTTGTTTAGCTTTTGATATTTTTATTTAAAGATTTGTAGCATTATTTTTTGGAATATGTCAATATATGGCCATTTCCAACATGCTTTAATAGCAGTTTGTGCCTAAAAGGCTTCCGAAGTATTCTTCTGCAGCACGTTAATGCTTTGGTAATGAAATAACAGTCAGTCTCTGTTTCAGTTCAGGAAAGCAATTTTACATCTGTTTGCTGTATGTCATAAATTTGGCTGTAGTTAAAACAAATTGTATAGGGTAAATATTTTTTTAAATACATTCTATTTAGGAGAAAAATAACATTTTACTTAATAAATTAATTTTAAACAAAGAATGTTAAAACTGGAAGTGTCTAGTTCCTATAAAATACTGTATGGCCATAATCTTTAGTGTTCTACAAGACTCTGTTTACCCAGGCCTGTTGAAGTTAGCTTTTCTCCCCCTCTTTTCCTTCTGCATTTTGTATCACTTTAAACTGTTGTGGAAAAGCCTGAAAGTTGCTGATTCTAGTTTATTCACAAAGGTCACAGAAGCTTGACCTTCCAGGATATTTCCCTTATCTTAACCTAGTGATTTGTTTGGAACACCAGAAATCTAATAGAGAATGACAGAAGCTTATTAAAGCTGTCCATTATTTACCTCAGGGTAGTGTCCTTCATCATGTTAGCTCAGAGATATTAAAAAAAATACTGGAAGGCAGGTAAGCACTGAATATTAGGAAGGATCCCTTGGTCTTACCTTGCCTACTGGTGCATAATATTATTGCTTGTTTTATTTATTTATTCCCCTTTTGATCTCATTCAGATCCTCAGCCCCCAGGAGGCTGTTTCAGTGGCACACAGCAACCTTAAATCTATTCTAAGAGCATAGCTGGGAATTTTCCTAAATGGTGTAGGGGAATCCTTCCACTGCATCAAGCTGACATAACCTGCTCTATGCCACCCTTTCCTACCTTCCCTCCATCATAGAGGATGTGCTGGGGGCCATAGTGGGTGTGGACAAATTGTGCTTCCCTCCAGTGATACCCAGTTACTATAACAGCTTTTAGGAGGCCATTGCAGGCTGCAATAAGTTAGCCCGGAGGACAAACTTGAACCTGGTTGTCCCCAAATTAAGCTAGCACAAAAATGTCTTCTAGCCGCTTTTGTCATCTCTCCCTCCCCCTCCCCCCCCCCCCCGATGTGATGTTCTGGCACAGCTGAAGATGCAGATAATTAGGCATTTTAAAATGTTTGGTGGTACAGTGACTGGTTTAGAACATGTGGGATATGTCTAAGAATAGGATCAGATACAGTGATTGTAATGGAATGATAAACTATAGTATACTATTCAGCCATTAGTTGGTGAAGCATTTAACATTCCTTATTTAAGCTAACCTCAGTGGGGAGAACATTAAAGGGTCTTAAATGTGTTCAGTATGGTGTCTCTCTTGCTCAGAAGGAAGCCCTGTAGCCAGTCCATATCTGGTACAGGAGTATAACAGTGATTGCTATTAAACCAGTGCTTGCATATGCAAAATATGTAGTTAGATATAATTGGATGTCTGTATATCTGATTCATCTGATATGTTCACTTTGGACTTATAAATTAAAGGTTTGGCATACTAAAAAATATAGACATGGAAAATTGTGTTAAATATTTGAACTACAGAAAAGCTTATGATACCATTCTGCACAAGAGATAAGTAAGTTACTTGAGGAGATAAAGAAGTCTTAGCTATCAAACCCATAAAGATTTAAGAGTATTTGTGAGTGGAAGCATACGAAACTTAAGGAAGAACTAAACTTGTATTATGAATTAGGTTAGTCAAAATTTTCTGTGTAGTCTCTCCTATCTCTTCAAAGAGGCTCCTGGTTTTCTATCATTGAACTCCAGGCACAAACACCAACAATCATCAGTGAGGTGGGTCAGAAATACATGAAATAGGGACAAACTTGCAAGGGAGGTATTTGCCTTCACCCATGGCAAGGTACGCGAGATAATATTTTTTATGGGACCAACTTCTGTTGGTGAAACAGGGAAACTTTCGAGCTACCTTAGTTCTTTGTAGCTGAAAAGCTTGTCTCTTTCACCAACAGAAGTTGGTCCCATAAAAAAATATGATCTCAACCACCTTGTCTCTCTAATATTCTGTGACCAGCAAGGCTACAACAACACTTCACCCATGGCAATCAGTTGATATAATCTGAAGGAAAGTAGTGGAAATCCAAGCAAAGCAAGGAATATGTACACTTTAATAGCTGTATCCTTCTCCCATCAAAGTCAGTGGTAAAGCTCCTTTTGAATGCAATAAGAGCAGATCCATAGGGAAATGGAAACTCCACACTACATTACAAGGTATAAGAGAGTGAAAGTTGTTAGTTGAAAATAAAAAATACAACCCATTACATTAAGGTTTCTTTATTTAAAATGAAACAGAAAAATAAATGGGCATGTTTGGTGTAGTAAAGCAAACCCACAAATTGGATCAGTGTGACTTATTGTTGGATTTAACCAGTAAGTGCCAACTTTCTGAAAACCACTGCTAATTAACTCATTTCACTCTGTCTTCACTTGTATCTAAATGGACAAAAAGGAATTCCCTTTTTTCGTTAAATACAATACAAAAATAAGGCATTACTAAGTACTAATAAAATGAATTAGATAATACCATGTCTAATCTCAGTAGATATTACATGCAGAATCATTGTGAGTAGAATTTAGTGAATGTTTCTTCCAATTTCAATTGTAAGAACCTTAGAAAAGTACCCATATATCTTGTGTTGTAGAGATTATTTGAATTTCAGTTCCACTGAGAAACTACTTTAAGATTTTTAACACATTTTCTTGCATTATTCGTTTATTAATTATCATTAAATTTCTTAAATTAGAGTGGCTGTGAAAAGAAACTGATAACAAATATTCAAGTATGCTTTTTCTCAAAATATTCCCATTCTTTCCCTTGCTGATAACAGCTTTTAGGGATCTTAAAATATGTTTTTTGTATATCAGAGAAATTTTTATAAATAAAATATATGAAGATCTTCAGTACTGAAATGAAAGTTACAGAGCACAAACAGCCCAGGAGTACCTAATTCTGAAATGAGAATAATCTTATCTGTCAGTCCAGTTTAGATCTGCCATTACAAATCAGTATTTACAGCAGCTACACAAATAGCGGGGTTCACTATTGCCACTGTTGCCCTCCCCCTTCCACTCCATCCCACCACCTTAGAGTATAAGATAGCAATGGTAGAGCTGGCCCAGAACTTGGGATTTCTGGTTCATGAGAAATTTCAGTATTTTGATATTTGATTTCATTTTGAAATGGAATGAAACCAAATATTTTGTAATTTCTTATGAACCGGAAATCCAAGACACTTTTCATTTCAGAAACACTAACACATGGTGTTTCCAAAGTGCTACATAGTCCCCAGGACCGGCAGCAGCTGACTAAAATTGATATTCTTGTAATTAGTAGTGGTAAAACTGACACGAATGTCAATTTTACTCAGCTGCTGCTGGCTCTCTGAGGATCTGCAACTCTGGAGCAGCCTAGCCGTGGGAGCCCCAATGGTTTCCAGGCTCACAGCTCCATGGCAGGGAGACTGGAAATCCTGAGAGCCCAGCCCTCACTTAAATCAAGGTTTTCAGGGCTTCCAGCCTCCTTTGTGCAGACCCAGCAGCACAGAACTTGAAAACCCTAGTTAAAGCCAGGTACCTCAGGACTTTCTGGACTGACAGGCTCCTAGATTCATTGCATGTAGCCTGGAAACCCTGACAATCTTGGCATGGTGGGGCTGGCCAGAGCCTGGAACTCTCTGGGTCCCCAGCCCTAGAATAATACACAAGGTGGTGCTCCTCCAGAGCCGTGGACCTGGAAGACCAATCTGTCCAGCAGCCTGATAGGTGAGCTGGCAGAGAACCAGGCAGGTTTCTGTCTTGGTCAAAAGTTATTCAAATCTGAACTCTTTTTTAAGAGACATTTCAGTTTTGTCTGAAAACTTCTGACCAACTCCAGTCAATGGTAAATATTTATTAAATGCATATAAATGGTTGGAAAATGTTGATTTTTGGCGGCTTCTTTTGTATGTAACATTGCCCTCGGGAGGCCAATGAGTTTATTTTTAATTTAAATATTATTTTTTGTCCTCAAAGAAAATAATGATTGGTTGGCTGGTGATCAGTTGTCTTTTTATGCTAAACTGCAGAAAATCAGAAATTATGGAGGCACTGCAGTGACTCTTTTAGTTAATAAAATGACACACTTTTTATTATCCCAATTTGACCCTCTTTTCTAGCTTCCGCTTTTCTGCCTGCTCTTTTAAATGCTGTGGTCTCTAGCCAGAGTATAACTTTCGGTGTGTGGGTGGGAGAATGGTGGGGGGGAGGAGGGTTGAGGTGAATCAGAAAAACATTTTCTGTGATATGGACTTTGAAGAATGAGATGTAATTTATTTCACTTTTTGAAACGTTTTTAACATTTTTCCCTCTTTTGTGTGGCCATGTCTGATAGCTTGATCTAGAAACTTCCATTTCATTTTATTCTGTATCACCAGCTGAAATCTGACACACACAACTTCTGTGAGAAGGTGGTGTACACATTTTCCAGTTACTCATTGCAGATTTTTGCACCTCTGAAAACTTCACCCAGTCCTGCTAGAAAACGAAAATTTCATGAAGGGTTTAGTGGAATTTAGAATCCG